AGAAATGCTGGGTGTGTTTGACCTTTTGATTTTCTGACTCCAGCTCTCTGCACATTTCATTATAGTATCTTGTTTTGTCGTCCCGAGCTGCCTTTTGAAATTTTCTGTTCAACTCTTTGACTTACACATTAAATCATTTTTAAATAGAAAAAAATTTTGAAGTTCAACTTAAGCTTAAAATGTTTATTTGATTTTTATCTCTTTTAGCGCTTTTGTATGTGTGCATATTATTTGGCCTTGCAAAGTCCCTTGTGTGCTATTCCTCTTTTATATGATTTATTGTTTATTCTTTTAAATTTAGGATTTTTTTTTGTTTTTTTTACTGTGTCTATTTAAACATTTCTATGTGCACGACTAAGTGTTATTATGTTCATCATGATAAGCAATAACCACCATTTCCAAAATTTACCATTAACCTCAATCATACTTTTTAATGCTGATTTATTTTATGTAAATTATAGGCAGCATGCCATTCTATCCCTAAATATTTCAGTATATAAGTTTTAAATGAAAACATTTTCTTATATGGACAATATGAACATACCTAACAAAATTAACTGTAAGTCTTTGGCAACATATGCTACATGTTATTGTTGTTAATTGTGGTTGAGTTGCAGGTGACTCATAGTGACCCTATGAACAAAAGTCCTGGACACTTCTGTGTAACTTTCTCCAGGTTCATAGGGTTTCCAGAGGCAAGCTATTGTGGAAGTGGATGCCACTCCTGCTTCCAAGCTTGTTTTAATCGGGGAGCTTCACCAAATACTATCCATCATGGGTAACAGTATTCGGCTTCACAGCAACCACAAATTACCTCTGTACAGCAGTCCATATTTAATTTAATCCTTTATTCCTATTAAGTAACTCAGTTGCCACTTATAATTTGTTCATTCAAACTAGTATCTAGTCTAGGATCATGCATTCATTTGATGCTCCTTGAAATTGATTTAATAAGAACTCTCAGCAACAAAGAAGTGACTCTGACTCTTCCTGTATGAACCTTACTCCAATCAGAGTATGCCAAATGTTTGGGCCCTTGCTAGTGAGCCAGCTTATTTTCAAATTAGTCAATCGCTATGCACCGCCTCCATCTTACCTCATCTTCCTGCCCCTCACTCAGTCTTTGCCACCCCAGCACCAATAAAAACCCCTGTCTCAAAGGGCTGGGGGATCTGTCACGCAGCCGCTGCTGCGTCGGGGTGTGTGTAGAGTCCCTGCTTGAGAGCTTGCCATAAAATCCCTCATGTTCTTGCATTGGAAAAAAGAAAAAAAGAAAGAACTCTTTCCCCAATAACATTGCCTCACCATCAGCATGTATAGTACTGAGCCTTTGGGGCTTGTCAAATTACCCCTTAAAGTGTCTTTTACTTGTTCTTCTACCCTTAATATTGCCTAGAAACTAGAAATTAGTTATAAAGACTTAATTAGATGCAGATTGAACATTTTTTAGCAGACTATATTATATATGTTTCTACATTACATGGGGAGAAACAGAATTTCTCCCTGTCCCACCATTACTGATGCCAATGTTGATTCCTATAAGAAGATGACAGACCAGTCCTTGCACTGTAAAGGTGCATTTCCCCTTTGTAACAAGAGTATTTACATATATTTTATAGAATATCTGTACTTTTTATAGTACATCTATATAACTTTGGTACCATATGAATGATTGTCTATCTTCCTATCCAGTAATGCTTTTGACATTAATTGATGCTTCTTACTCAAATTAGTTAAGTATTTTCCCACCAAAACTCACTGCTGTTGAGTCAATTCCATCTCAAAACAATACAGTTTCCAAGGCTGTAAATCTTTTCAAAAGCAGACTACCTCCTCTGTGGAGGGGCTGGTGGGTTTGAACTTCTGACCTTTTGTTGTTACTGTGTACTTTCAAGTAGGAACCTTTAGTTAACAGCAAATTTTTTTATCACTGTATTATCAGAGTTCCTTATAACTTCATTAGAAATAATCAGACTATCATTTTTCTAGTTCTGCCATTCTTTCTTCATTTATTAGTGAACACGGAATTAAACAGAGCTCTTTTTAAATCGTCTGGGACTATTTGTCATTTTTGTGTTCTGTGGTGGAGTTGGAAACTACTCTTAGCCGACCCTCCAGCAGGGTTTTCGGAGGCAGTAAATCACACAGAAGGAGATTGCTCATCCTTCTCACTCAGAACTGCTGGGAGATTCAAACTGCATGCAGCTGGGATTGCAGTGCAGCTTCTTACCACTCTGCCACCAAAACTCCTGAAATACAGTTCTGTTGGAAAGGTGAAGTTAAGTGTTGATTTTTTCATTTTCATTTTTCTATCTCTCACTTTCAGAGTAAACATTAGATTTGATAACCATCTTAAAGTGTGGACAATGAATGTTTTTCTTGCTTTCTCTTATTTGATATAATTAGCAATTGATGGATTTTCATAAATTTAATGTTTCAACCAACTGTAATCATTGTTCTTCTTATGTTCAGATTGTTGAAACTAGTTAGTGATAGTTTCTTGAACTTGGCTGCTATGTCTGTTACACAAAATTCATAAAACATGAAAGCACTTTGCTTCTTTACACAGTAAGATGTGAAGACTTCTCTTGTTTAACAGCAATTTTATTAGGCATCAGACTTGGAACGGCTGGTATTACTAATTGAAGTGATAGTGTTTTCAATGTTCACTTTAGTTCTTGAGTTTTGATATGGAATGTTTAGATAATAACAATTCAAATAGAAAGTTTATCTACTTAAAAAAATCATGAGTTCATATTGTTATTTCCAATTCAATTTTAACATTGTTGTATTTTAAAATAACTACTCTGATTTTATAATTGCTTCTTTTCACTTATACTGAAAATCTTGACCTTTTATTGCAAAACCCATGATTATCTATTTGTTTTTTCTTGTAATATAAAGATCTACTGGGAAAAGAAATGTATATGAACTTTGTAAGTAAACCAGTATAAAATAAAAATTTTATAAAAAGAAAATTACTTCCAAATAACCATCTATTAGTCCTAACAACAAACCCAAGTGAAATGAAA